CTTAATATGTGCTCCAAACTGTGCTAGGCAATTTACATGCATTAACACATCTAATCCTAATAACCGACAAGGCAGGCATTATTAAGCCAATTTTGTACATAAACAGGTTCAGAGAGGATAATTAACTGGCCAAAAGTTACCCCAAATAACTGGTAGAAGTGAGTGAGAGTCCAACCTTGGGCCAGTGTGATTACCAAAGCTCAGTTCTTGCACCAAACCTCATGGTCCCTGAAGTCCCATAAAAAGAAAAACTACACCCAGCCCAGCTTCCTAAGGAACTGATCATGACCTGACACACCATGCATCTGCTCCTTTGTGTACTGTCTGTCCCTAAAATGTGAGCTCCCTCAGGACAGAGGTGTTGTCTGCTCACTGCTGTGCCCTCAGCTCTGGGTACACAGAAAACGGTAAGTATTCCATCATCAAGAAATATGAATAGAGAAATGACATGTGTCTCTGTGGTCACATGTGGTAGCGGTGTGATGCTTGCTGAAGAAGTTGCTTATAAGAGTCTAGGTAGGAGAGGACAAGGACATGAACTAGGGTTGAGGAACCAAAACCAGAGCATTAGAGAAGGTTCCAGGGATATCCCAGCGATGGCGCTGACAGGACACGATGGATGACCACGTGGACATGGGACTGAAGGAGAGCAGAGTCAGGAGTGAAGAGGGCAGAGGAAGAGGACAGGTCAGGCGTTTGTAGGGAGAAGGAAGGAGGAGAGGTCCGCCCCACAGAGTCGGGGACATGGAATAATTAATAGAAAACAAAAAAGCACTCAGGAGAGAGTGGGGTCAGAGTGACTGGGGTACGGGATGGGCCCACAAGCACGGGGAGTACCTGCGGCAGTGGGAACAACCGAGCTCACTCAGCGAGGGATCGACTGGAGAAGCCACACTAAAGGGAGCGACACACACCGCCAGAGGTGACTAGCAGAGTCAGGAGGTTCAGGCACCGACTTCTTAAACCCATTGCAGTGTAAACGCCACGGCGAATGTCTGTGCCAAGGAAGCCACGCTTGCCCCATGAGTCCAGTGCCCAGTGGTGAGCATTTCTCCTCTGTGCTCCCAGACGGCCCTGAATAAGGTTTCCACAGTGCAAAAACCTCGCAAAATGAGCCCTGGGCAATAACCACTGCGTAGTTAAAGTAAAACGGCTTTCTAACTGGTGTCCTTTTTAATCTTTCCTCATGCTAATGAATCCAACACTACTGCCAAATCAACATTCCTAAAACCCTAATTTCATGTCATTTCCCCGCTTTAAAAATCTCCAGTGGCCTCGAGATGAGACTCTCTTTGACCCTATTCTACCTGTACTTGAAGTGTTAACAGTATGAGAATTATCCAGTTCAAATTTGAATCCTGGGCCCCACGGCTTATTAGCTGTGTGACCCTGGGCAAGTAACTTGACCCCTCTGTGCTCCCTCAGCTCCTCATCTCTAAAATGTGGCCAATACTCACATCATACAGCTGTTCTTATAAAGTGAAAATACTTATGAAGTGCTTATTTAGCACACAATGCCTGCCATAGGAGTTACATCCTTTAAACAAGCTGTCCCCAACCTTTTTGTCACCAGGGACCAGTGCTCCTATGAGAATCTAATGCCTGATGATCTGAGGTAGAGCTGAGGCGGTGCTGCTAGCACTGGGGAGTGGCTGCAAATACAGATGAAGCTTTTTTGCTCGCTCACCTGCTGCTCACCTGCTGCTGTGTGGCCCAGATCCTAACAGGTCACGAACTGGTACCAGTCCGCAGCCCCAGTGGTTGGGGACTCTTGCTTTAAACCAGTTAGCTAATATATGAAAAGTCCTTAACTGTGTTCCCAACATATAGGAACATTAACTGATTATTATTATTATCATCATCATTATTATTTTATTTTATTATTACTTCCCCAAATAAACTTCCTACTCCATCTACTATTTTCACCATGATGATTTCTAAACATGCAATGCCCATCCCAGGACCTTTGCTGGTGGTGTTCCTACCCAGGAACCACCACCACCACCAATGACTATTCAGTCAACGTTTACGCTCTATATCCAAGGTGCTGGGATGGACATTCAGGAAAAACAAACAGTCCCAAAGTTCAGAGCGCAGTCTAATAATCAGAGACAGCCACAGGAAAAGGCGCAACATGTTAAGGCGCCAAGGGAAGCACTTTCTAGAGGTAGTGGAGACGCTGACACCAAATCTTCAAAGCTGAGTGAATCGGGCAGAGCAGGTACATGTGGAGTAAGAGCATCCAGTATTGGGGTCGCAGTCACTGCAGGTGTTGCCAGAGCTCTGAGCCGCAGGTGGGCACAGGTAAAGGCAGAGGCAGCTAGAGGAGGGTTGGATCACAGAGGTCATGAAGTGTTTGGACTTTATTCTGTAGGCAAGAGGCAGCCACTATGTGATGTTAAGTAGGGAACCTCTGCTTGGGTTCTAGAAAAGTTATCCCTGTGCTGCTCAATACGGACGCCACACGTGACTACTGAATGCTTGAAATTCGCTAGTGAGACTGAAGAACTAAATTTTTAATATAAATCAATTTAAAATTTAAAAGCTGAGATGCAATTGTTACTGGAAAATTTTTAAGTATGCTGGGAACAATTTGGGTATGTGAATCCACTTTTTCAACTGTAAGGTTAAATATGGATTAAGTATATCTGATGAAAACTTCACATCCAGATTGAGATGTGCTTTAAGTACAAAACACACACCAGAGTTTGAAGACTTAACACAAAAAAGTAAAATATCTGATTAATAATCTTTATGTTATCATATATTGAAATATTTTCAACCCATTAGGTTAAAGATGACATTGAAATTAATCTCACCTGTTTCTTTTTACTTTTTTAATATGGCTACGAGAAAATGCAGAATAGCATACATAGCTCACATTATATTTTGGATAGCACTGATCCAATAGAACCAAGGCAGGATGAAAGAAGAAAGAGACTAGGAGCAGGAAAACCAATTAGAGACTCTGATAAGGGTCCAGATGAGACACAGGCCTGAATTATCTAAATTCTACCCATCTTCAAAACCTAATTCAAGACTTACTACTACCTCCAAAAGCCTTCCCAATCGTAAGAATCCCTAATGAGTTGCCTTTCTCCAAACTCCTGGGTCACATGTCTTCTGTAGCATTTACTTCAGCACTGAATCATTTACCCCTGTCATTTCTACTTAATTTGGGGGTCAGCTGTTTCTTAGTTTAGACTATCAGCTCCTAGGCCACAATTTAAGTGTCTTTAATTTTCCACTTTGTGTGATACATTTTCAATACTTTTAATAGAGGTGCATGGCTCCCCAAATATTCTGTCACACACACAGTAAGAGACACCCATGTGACTAACTTTTGCACACAGAAGGCACTGAGAGTCTCATTTCCTTCAGATACATTAAGGACAGTAAAATATCAAAATCAAGCGAGACTCCAAGCCCATGTTCCAATAAAGCAGTGATATCTATTCATTGAGTAAGCATTGGGTGACTGTATTGGATACTCTCAGGGAAAAAAAAGTTAATATGGACGAGCAATTTAGCATCTTCACATATTCCATTAAAAAAAAAACAACAAAAAACAGAAAAGTCTGATTCTTTTTGGTCTGCCAGAGATAACCTTTGCAACCAAAGTATTAAGAACTTTCATTCAAGGGGAAAACACACAGCTTTAACATTTCAAAGTTAGTCCCTAAATCAATCCTTCCAATAAATGACACATTTTTCAGATAGAGAGCCACAAATTACTAAAAAACTACGACTTGGCATTTTCCCATCTAAATTAAAGGAAGGTGAAGAAAACATTTTCAGGGAACTGTTAAGAAGTGTATAAATATGTGTTGCTGTATCATGAATAATAAAATACTTCACCTAAAGCACCATTTAAATTTTCTAAGAACTCTTTAAAAAAAAATAAACACCCAAGCACCTGGTCAGCTTCCATCACTAGAGAAACAAGAAGCTGGTAGTAACTAGTTGAAAGCAAAAATGACACTTTATGGTTATTAGTACTGATCATCTGGGAACTTTGTAGTTCTCAGATTTATGTTTGTTTGACATTGAAAACATAAAGCTGACAAGTTGTAACAACATCAGAATTCATCTTCCTTGCATTTGTTTAATGGCTACAAAGCTGACAGCAACAAAGTGTAATTAAAGTTTCTATCTCCAAACAATCCAGCAATCAAAGATGGAGTCAGGACAGCTCTAAGGGAAAAACAAGTGGGGAAACCTGTCAAATAGCCTGGATGAAATCAGGGAGTTGAAAAGAAAGCACTCATTTCCTTTAGCACTGTGGGAAAATCCCAGTACTAATAGAAAGCCGAGGAAAGTTTAGTTTGGCTGATTTCTTTTTGTTTTCCTTCCAACACCATCTCTGAGCATGAAAGACTGCTTTCCTCCCCTCCCATTACTCAGTAAAAACTCCCCCACCGAACTGAGCTGTCTTCCGGAGCCCCGCTCCCCAGCCTCCGAGATCCACACCGCCCCTGCCTCCCAGCTTGCAAACGTGCTCCGACGCCTCCGGGCTGGTTGTGGTCCCACCAGTCTGCGGGCCAGCGCTCCGATCTCAACGGACAATAGGAGCTCACCCCCGTCAACGCCAACTACAAAGCTCAGGAGGGCCATTTCCCTTTTCCTGCCCAGATGCTGTTTTCCCTCCTTCGAAGCAGCGCCCCATGCTCCACTAGAGCCCCAGTTTGGGCTGGGACCTGTGTGTTTCTCCCCACCTGCAGAGTTGCTGAACTTCTCGACCCCAAAATAAGTTACACCGCAACGCACAGGCCGAAGGGGACCCCCTCCCCAGGGCTGGATTGGGGGCATAGATTTCACAGTCCAGGTAGGATGGGGAGCGCATGTCTCTGGACGCTTGGTCACGGCTCTGAAAGCTAAGCCGCCCCCGCTGTTCCCTCCCCAGCCTCAACTTGTCTCCCCTCCCCCTCCAGCAAGGAGAGCGGGTCGGTGGTGGCAACATCGCCACCTCCTCACCCAGTGGAGCCCTCAGTGACACTCACCCTTTCACCACAAAGAAGGGGTCCTCCATGGACATGGCGTCCCGGCCCCCGGCCGCCTCACGCCTCCTCCGCGCACAGGGCGCCCGCGCCCTCCGATCCTCCCTCCGCCCACCCCACTGGCCTCCCGCGGCTGCAGGCGCCTCGGCCTGGGGGACCCAGATCCGCGGGTGGGCGCAGGCCGGGGAGCACGGGAACGCCGCTGGTCCAGCCCGCGGTGGGGCCACAGATCGAATCCCAGGCTCGGCGCCTGCCCCCGCCGCTGCCTCCTCCCCCGACTCCTCCCGGCGGGTCCGGCCGGCCTTGCCCCGCCCCCGGGGCCCGCGGCCTGGGCCAACCACGAACGCGGCCCACCGCACCACTTCCGCACCCGAGCTCACGTGACCGAGCCTGTCCCGCCCCCCTAGTGGGCGGAGCCTGGGTACGCGTCATTCGACCCTGGAGGCGGGGCTCTGCAGCGCGACAGAGAAGGGCGGGTCTTCTGTAGACCCGCCCATCAGGATTCAGGGGGAGGAGCCGCTTGTTCTCTCCTAGGAAGACAGGTAGGTTTTCAGGATATGGTAGTCATCTGATTTGCATAATCCTTTACCTTTCCTCTATGTACTTTTAACACTTGACTTACAGTCAAGCGTGCTCATATTTATGATCTAACTATGACAATGTTGCATTACTCCTTTAGGTCTTACTATGTGTCTGGCAACGAGCTAAAGTCTGTGTGTGTGTGTGTGTGTGTGTGTGTGTGTGTGTGTGTGTGTGTTGAGGGTATTATTATTCCCATTTTGTAGATGAGAAAAGCTCAGAGAGGCTTCAAGATTTCCTGTGGTCATACAGCCTGGACAGGGCAAGGCCACAAATTCTGTCCCCTTTCCACCAAACTGGGATGAATTTTCTTCTGTGCATTCCGCAAGTGACCAGTAAGGTAATTAATTCATACAGTGTATGGTGCTTCCCAGGAGATACCACCCTTGAGGGACAAAGCAGGGGCCGGCCATGACAACTTCCTCTCTGCTATGGTTCAGGATCTCTTCCCAAAGCATTTTGGTCAGAACAGTTAGCCAAATCCTATGTTAGATATGCTATGGGAGTTGTGAACTTTAACTGCTGATAATCATTGAGCACTTACTGTGTTTCAGGCACTGTGCTGTTATCTCAGTTGCTCTCACAATGAGGTAATTACTGTTGTTATCCCCATTTTACAAATGATTAATCTGAGACTCTTGGAGGTTAAGTGACTTGCCCAAGGTCACCAGTCTTTCTGGAGATGAAAAAGTCCTCAGAGCCAGACACAGAGAAAAACATGCTTGGTTCTTGCTTTCAAGGAGCTCTCAGACCAGTGGGAGAGACAGGCAGATACATACAATGAGCGACGGGCATAGGTTGCCAATAAAACACAGAGACAAGATACCAGTTTATTGTGGTGTGTATGTGTGTGTGAAGGGGGTTGTTTCTAAACAGTGACTAGAGGCAGCCAGGAGACAGCATAACATCTGTGGGGGAACTATAGCAGAGGGTGTTGCCAAAATGGAAGAACAGGATGTCAGGAGGAGCTAAGGCTGGAGATGGGTCAGATTATTAGGGCCCTTGATTGTGATGTTAAGAACTATGGACACTCTACTGTAGATCATAGCAGCTGGGGGAACTGGCATGGTCAGACTGGCATTTGAGACAGATACTGTGGTGGCTCGGAGGTCATCTGGGAGGTCATGGTCTAGAGAAGGAGGCACAAGAGTGTCTTGAAATAGGCTCATGGCAAATAGGATGGAGAGGAGGAATATATTTGAGAAATACGTTAGAGGCCAAACCAGTGGACTTGGTAACTAATTGGTTCAGGGTGTTAGAGTGTTGGTGAAAGTGGAGGGAGGAAAGCTTGCAGGGTTCTGGAGCTGGAAGTGGTTTTTAGTCCCAATCACCAGGAAAGAGAATACAAGATGAAGATTAAATGTAGGGTGGATACAAACTAGCTGCTAGCATGTTGGTTTTCTCCACTAAACTGTAAACTGGAGGTAGGGGAGACTATGTTGATGTTATTTTCACTTTAATGCCTAGCATAACCTCTGATCATCTATTCCATGAACTATTAATTAAACCACAAGTGAGAGATCAGAAACATAGTGGGAGCATAGAAGATAGAGAACAGAGGCTTGGAGACTTCCCATAATGAGGCATTTGGAATAGTACCAACCATAGAGATAGTAGAAGATTGAGACATGAAATGTGTGTGGGGTGGTATAGAGTGTCCCTTTCTTCGCTATGTTACCCTCCTTCATTCTCTCTCAAACCAAACAAGACCTTGGCATCCACTGCCCCAGATAAAGGGAAGCTATAGTTAAAATGCGAGCATCTTTTCATGTGTTTATTTACCATTTGTATATTTTCTGTGGAGAAATGTCTATTCAAGTTTTTTGCTTATTTTTTAATTGGGTCATTTGGGTATTTGTTGTTGTTGTTGAATTCACCCTGCATCCTTTTTGAAATAACTCTAAGGAAGAAAAGTATTGCATAAACATTAGGTATTACACTCTTCATCGTTATCTCGATCTTTTAAAAACCATGAAATGCATGTGCATGCCTTGGATCACTCCAGGAAACATTCACTCATGTTGGCTTCCACTGATCCGGCAATGGCTGTCTGCATTTCCCAGCCCCAACCACAGGAAATACCCACACACATATCCACACACTAGTTATGTTTCCTTCCCTCTCCTTGGTTGTTAACATCACCTACACACTTACCCTCCTTTTTGTAAATAATTTAAAAAAAGTATTTAAAGTTTGGCAGAATTAAATGTTTACTTGGATAATCAGAAATACAAAAAGTAGAAAACAATCAAAAAAAGAGAAGTGAGGTCAAGTGACCACATATGCAAAACTACATAAAAAGTTAGTTTTAAATGTTTTTAGAGTAAAGCAAGTTAGGAATGTATGAATGAATAGATATTGGAGAGTATTAAAAGTTAAAATATATTACTGGGATTCAGTGAACTTCTTGACAGAGCAGTGAATTTGAACCATTGTAGGAGGGCAGGTATGATCTATACCATCTCAATGAATTTGTTGGTGTGCAGGGAATGAAAAATCACAAATCTCTCTTGGTACAATAGTGAATAACAATAATAGTAATTCTGATTGCTAACATTACTTACTATGTAGCAGACATTAGCTGAGCAATATACATGCATAATCTTTAGAAGTAGCTCCAGGATTTCTACATAGGGCAGGTTTTAGAATGTAACTTAAAGTTTGGACGGCAAAGCTAGGAGACTTGAACTGAGCTTACATGGCAGACCCACTGTCTTTTCTTAAATTAGTGGTTTATTTGGGGTGGCTCACGAGGGCCAATGGTGATTAAGTATGTGCGATAATAGTACTCTAAAGTCCCAACAAGTGACAAGTCTCCTATTGTTGCCGTAACAAATTACCACAAACTTAATGGCCTAAACAACACAAATTAATTCTTTTATTGTTCTGGAGGTCAGAAGTCCAAAAGTGGGTCTCAGGGCTAAAAGCAAAGTGTTGATAGGGTTGCATTCTTTCTGGAGACTCTAGGGAAGAATCTAGGGAAGAGGCCATCTGCATTCTTTGGCTCCCCTCCAGCAATGGCATCACTTTGACCTTGCTTCCACTGTCACAACTTCTCGGTCTCGGACCCTTTTGCCTCCTTTTTATAAGAACCCTTGTGATTACTTTGGGCCCACCGGATAATCCAGGATAATCTCCTCATCTCAAGATTCTTAATTTAATCATATCTGCTAAATTCCTTTTGCCACATAAGGTAACATAGTCACAGGTTCTGGAGACTAGCACATGGAAATCTTTGAAGTGGGGGTGGTGCATTATTCACCTAGCACAGGAGGAAACCAATCTGTATAGTTCTACTACCTACCAGGTGCATCATAAACAGAGCCGTATCTAATACTTCAACGACTTTATGAAATAAATGCCAGAATTTGCTTTTAAAGTGGATAAAATTGTGCCTCAGTGCAATTTGGGATTCTTCCCAAGGTCAAGTAGCTGGGATGCAAACCCAGGTCCCTGAACCACAGTTCAAGCCACCCTACCTTGTGGCTTTGCCTCCAGTAATCTCTCCCAGTCACCTCTCCTTCCTCTTTTCTGTCTGGGTCTGTCCCTCAGCTCCCTGGACAAACTTAAGCTTGTCATGTGCCAACCTGTCATGCTCTCCTGATGACAGTGTAGCCACAGCTTGATCCTGGGCATTGCTAATCGAGCAAATCAAGTGTTTGGCCCTCAGAATCTTCTTTCAGGCCTTTTTCTTGCTCTCCTTTATTCAACAAACTTTTTTTTTTTTTTGAGCTTATTTCGCAGGGTGCTAGAGCAGTGGGAGGATAGACCTATGCTAAAACTGACAAGACAGTCTAAGTGATACATGCTCTATCAGCCATATGGACTATAGCATTGTAGGAAGTCAGAGCAGGGAATTCCAAGTCCTGGGAACTTTGTACGAGTCTGTCTCATCCACCTGGGGTGAAATCTATGCTCCAGGAAAGAAGCAAAGGCATCTTTTCTTTTGAGCTCCCTGAGGTACCAGGTGTGATTAATCTTTGTGTTCCCTGAGCCTTGCACATAGCTGAGCTCCATAAATATTTAAAAGTTCAGAACAGGGCCACCTGAAAGTAATATAATATTGTATGTTGACTGTAATTTAAAAATAATTTTAAAACAAACAAACAAACAAACAGGTCGGGAACAGGGTCAAAACAGGCACACGAAAAGGAGCAAGCAGTGTCTGAAACCAAAGCAGTTAAAAGTTACCCGGAAAAGCATTCAGTACTTTTGTCTCTCTCTATTCTACCTAGCAACTGATGACACTGCATACGTCCCTGTTTTTATTGGGAGAAGGCCCTGAGCGTCACGCGGTGCTAAATCTCCAAGAGCGAAGAGCGGGTGAAGTACAGGTTCTTGAAAGATCAGCTGAGACCTGTCCGTGTTTTGGTTAAAAGAATCTGAAGGAAAAGACCTTAGAGGAGCCAATGATGCTCCTGTTTCCTCTCCTTGTTGTATTAACGGCGAAGCACTGCGTTGCCCGTGAGTATCACAGTTCTCTTCGTTCCGAACTCCAAAGCTGAGGCAGCCGAGGGGGAAGAGCTCGTCTTCCTAAAACTTGAGGTGAAACGCTGAAGCAGCCGGGGCGGGGATGCATATAGATTAAATCCAGGACTCGTAGGAGCGTCGGAGTAGCTGAGCAGGTTTCCAGTTCGCGAGTAGGCTTTCGGTGTCACCCACCTTCGGAGCGGGTGGCAGCCGTTCTGGAAAGCACCTCCTGGAACTCCCTCCTCACTTTCTTTCCGAGCGTCGCTCCCCTTCGTGTCAGCTCTTGTCCTTTCGTTTCCTTGTTTCTCCTCTTCGCGAGCTTGCGACTCTCGTGGCGATGTGGTCTGAGTTTCAGGGCATGCGACAGTGGAGAAGACGTCCCGCCCCGTTCAGGTACATTTATGTTTTTTTGTTTGTTTGTTTTCCTCATCACAAGCCCTGTCTGTAAAGGAAGATCCCGGAAAGATAAAACCGTGGTTCAGGACTTGCGAACTGGGTGTAAGGTATCAGCCAAGCAGAGGGGGCGTTCCTCAGGGTTTAGAGGCCCACGTCACTGGGGTAGCAGTGCCTTCGGTTGTCCCAAAGACATGAGCAGGCCCAATGGGCTGGAAGCACCAGGCTTCTCAGCTCTAAGCAACTGCTTTTCCAGCTAGTGGCTGGCACTCCCAGGCAGGTTGGGGTTGGGGGGGCAGTGTCTAGAACTCCGTCTCAGCCACTGCCATAGGCGGTGACTCATGAGGTGACAGAAAGAAACTTTCAAATCATCTGTGTATTCATTACACAAATGTTGGTTGATGCCCTACTATGTGCCAGGCACTTTGGGGGATATGACAGCAAGCAAGAAACACTTAAGTCTTGCTTCTACAGAAATTTAACCCAGAAAAGTCTTACCATTTAAATCAGAAATAGGAAAGGTTGGGAGTGAGGGTAAGAGACAGATGATGGAGAGAAGAGGGGAGGAGGGAGGAAAATGTGATATTTCCAGAAGGTAAAAAGCTTATGTATTACCTGCATTTGATCCTTAAAGAACTCTCCAGTAATACGACCACAGTATCCCCTAACCATAATCTTTCAAGTGATGGTCTCACTAACTTTTGTGGCAGGCTAAGGAAACCCAGGCCAGAGAGGTTGACTCAGCCCACAAAATGAAGAGTCTGAAGTGCACAGAGGTCTTTCAGCCCACAGTCAAGGGCTTTCTGACAATGTCGCAGCTCTTCTGGATGGGGCCACTTGGCACTTTAAAAATGGGGGGAATGCAAAATAAAACCAGGAAGCAATAAAGGGTAGGAAAGGTCACTTATGCTGGTTATTCTCCTTTTGACCTCTTAGATGTCATCCTTCTCTGTCCTGTCTTGTGTTCTGGAGATTGGACTGCCACAGATGGCATCACCCAGTCTCTCTTGCAGGCTTATTTCTACCTAATGGGAGACACTGAAAGGAGAGCGAGCAGAGAGCAAGGATGAGAGGTTCAGGTATTTTGTCTTCCTCCTTGCCCTCTTTCTGTACTGGCTCTGGTGGTAGCTGTGTTCCTCTGCAATATAATTTTCCCTGAGTAACCCCTTCTTCATGGTTCCAGTTCCCATTGGGCTTGGGTAACACTGTGTGTTACTCTGGTCTCTGCAACCCATCATTGCTACCTTCCGAGTGCCTCATTATCCCTCATTTCGTCCTTGCTCTTGCCCATACCTCTGCAAGGAGTCCCTTCCTACGGTCTCTTCATGTGACTCATCTGAAGTGAAGGCTGTTTTCTGCCAGGACCCTGGCTGAGAATTCTGGAGCACCGAGGGATGCTGACAGGGAAGGGAGCCAAGGTTATGACAAACCACTCGGTCTACTTCATATTTGTGCCTAATGCTGGCCCCAAATAGTTGCTTCTAGATGTAGAAGTGCAGGGAGGAGATACCAGAGTGTTTGGGGTCACAATTCCAGGAAATGTCAAGGTAACTCCAGTATCGCTTCTAGCGTGTGGCTTTCAATGACTCCGTGGCCTGCAGTAGACTACTTCTTCCTTTGTACTCCCATAGCTCCTCTTCACAGTTTTTAAATTTCAATTTACAGAAATCTTTCCTTCAAGGCTCTCCTTAAAGCTGGGGAGAGAGAGCTCTTCATTTTTTTCTTTTTTATTTCCATGGCACTATCTAGTGACCAATAAGCACTTAGTAAATGCCTCCTGAGTGAATTTATGCTCAAAGGTAATGTCCTTGAGAAATTGAAGTTATCTGATTGTGAGTCATAGAGAACTTGGGCAGCAATAATCACTACAAATTTGTAACTGTGGTTTACTGTAGTTGCAGAATCTTTATATATATATAAAAAAAGATGTTTCATGTTTACAACTCATTTGGTTCTTCATTTTGGCTTGTGTGAAACTGTGACCTGGTAATGTGGGTGGGTGTAATTAGGCTTGAGGCATGCATAGGATCTCTCTTGCATAGCCACATGTGGTTTGTGTGTTTAATCTTGAAATAACCAAGGTCAGCTTCTTGATATTATTCATAATTCTATAGATGTATCAATCTGCTTCATGAGTGATAGAGTTCTTTTCAGACAAGGACTGGTGATGGATATAAGCCCCTTAAATTGACGATCGGTCTAGTGTTAAAAGACAGACTTACAAATTATCTGTTTAGAAATGACCTGGAGTTCAAAGAGTTAACATGAGAAAATATGGGCATTTACTATAGACTTTATTAGACCTCAGTCTGTTTCCATGGAGCTGTTGCCAAGGTACATGCAGTAGAAATTTCTCCAAGACAATGTTTTATTCCCCTAAGGCCCTCTTCTTCTTGGTTGACATTGAATCTGTCTAAGTCTAAGAAGCTCAAATAATTTGTAGATTTTCTTCTGAATAGTTGAAATATTTGTCTGTTCTCTCCAAAATCTGTTGACCTTAACCATCTTCTTACCCCAGAGGATTGCCAAGAACTGGAGGGAGGGGCCTGAGTTAAAGATAAACGTGTGGCTCTTTAAACACTTGCTTTATGAAACCCAAATTGAGACAGATGACAAAAGACATTCTTGCTGACATCCAAATTTATGTTTATTATGGAAAACCTTTCAAGAATATGCGTATCAGGTCACATTTTGTTACAACTTTGATGAATCATTTAAAAAGAATAAAATTCACACATTTGGAATTCTTCTGGGAAATGCGAGACATATGTTCATCATTGTACACAGAGAGTACTGAGAAAAAACTCCTACCAGAGCCATTCTCTACTCTACAGTGACCCTACAGTGGTCTCCTTGCTGTTCCTCAAACACATGGAGCGTGCACGTCCCTCGAGGACTTGGGCTTGCCTTCTGTCATGGTTCACTTCCTCACTTCACACCTCTGCTCAAATGCCACCCGCTCAGCAAGGACTTTCCTGGTCCCTC